TATATATATACATACATAATATATATATATATACATATATATTTAAAAAAAAGTATAGCTGCTTAATTATTTTGTTTTTGGTTAATTGTAAAAGAAATCAAGAGAGTTTGCTAGCTAAGAGTAACATATTCAATTTAAAAGGATTTTATATGGCTTCTGTTAGCTACAAAGACTGTTAAGACTGCTGCTGCTGCTGGTAAACCTTATGCTTACCATTTGCATTTCCATTCATTTATGTATTCTCTTGGAATCCAATTACTCTGTTAGTTGCTAAGGTGGGACTTTTTGTCTTAGTTGACAGCGCTGTAAATAAAGCAGAACTTCCAGTTTCAGGCGAAGCTTGGGAAAAGAATGCTAGACAAATGTTTCGTTTTATAATAATATGCATAACAGCTGAGAAGACAGAGTCTATCTTTCAAAATTCCCTCGCTCTTGTATGTGCATATGTGTATATGTATGTATGTCGATAACATATCGTTTATTCGTTGTTTGTCTACTGGTGTTGGTTTTCGCTTTGGTCATGCTCTTTTTTATATACAAAAAAGGAGCAATAACTAACATTAATATGCTGTGCTGCTGGTGAGTTGATCATTGACTATCTATCTAACTAAAATGCATTATAATACGCTTTCTCTTTCTCTCTCTTTTTTTTTTCTCTATCTCTCTATATAACTCTTGATGTTTTACTAATGAATAGTTTTTTGATTGATGAATGTGATTTTGTATTCACAGTCGGCCTGGCATGAATGCGCCGCCGCGGCTACCCGAACGTCCTTCGTACTATGGCAACACGACCAATGGCAGACCCTACTAATTGAGCGTGCGTGCGAGCGAGTCAGCTAGTTAGCGCTAGTTGGACGGATTGAACATTTGCAGTGTGAGCGAGATGGCGTACGCATTTGGAATACGGAATTGTACTGTTAAATGTTCACTGTAATTTGTATTATTATAAATGTGTGTGTGTGTGTGTGTTAGAGAGTGCGACTGGCTGTATGCTGTTTGCGTGTTTGAATATTTTAATAATTTCCCATTTTTTTTAATACAGTATAATATATATACTATAATGATTGTTGTGAAACTCTGTACTAAAGTGTGTAGTGAAACACTTTCGACTGGTAAAGCTAGATATAGCATAGTTATCATATATACAATTTATATATAGTTATACACACGCACACACAAGCACAGGCACACCCATACACATACACACCAGCATACATATATATATATATTTGTAATTAGGGTAAGTGATGTAAAGTGTGAAAAAGCAGCCTCAACTGTCATACAGTCATACAGTTAAAACCGTTATACAGTCATACAATTTTAACACGCTGAAAGTTGTATATGGATACATCTATGTATTGTTAAAGTTCAATAATAAAAATAGGAGGAAAAAAATATTTCTCCTACGCATTGTAAATATTTCAAAGAATTGTTATAAAAATAATGCTAAAGCAAACAAAATATGAATAAAAACATGAAACGCTTTAAATTCACAATATTTTCCAAAATATATATGAGTGGGAATCACCCGCATATAAATATACAACAATTGATATTTACATATTTTTTAAAAATTAAATTTAATTGTATGTATGTATATTTATATGAATATATTAATAAATCTAAATGAATATACAAATATTTAATTTAACAGTTAAACATAAGCAACAAATATAAAAATTGTAAGCATTAAAATAATGTTATTTATAGCAATCGCAAAATAAAGTTAACAAAAAAATATGTAAAAAAATTCGTACATTTGTATTTATTATAGATGTCTGTATAAAAATGTGCCCCCTTTGGCTAGTTTACAGGGCATAAACATGAGTTCAATAACAAACGGATAATAAAGTACTTGGGCATTTAGCTAAGTTGCAAACCAGTCGCGAAATCTCCCATTATTATGTGTGAGGCTTGTACATTTAATTCCCTTTTATCGTACTTAGTGGAACGAACGCCGATGAGGCTTCTGAGCAAAATGTGCGCGGAAACAAGTTTGTTGGAATTCCAAGCCAGTGTTTCCATGCTACAATTTGAACAGTCGCTCTCGCTCGCTCTCTTCGCTTGAGTTGAGCGTAATCCAACTTGAGTGAAGCTAATTGCTAATTGGAAAATGTAAGCACTTCAATCGGAATAAAACACAAATTTTGCTTTTTAGCTTTGCAACGCAAAGTAATAATTTTATTGGTTGCCCTGTGTAGTGGCGCTGTATATCTACTGCCTAAAAGCAGACTCTCCATTTAGGAAGGGGATATTTAGTCCCGCTGACAGCAATCGCAAAGAAAGAAGTGGATTTCTTAACATACGGATTTGTCACTCTCGCTGGAGAGACAAAAAGAGAAAAAAAAAAACTGTTATCAATGAATTTCGCTCAAAAATTTGAATCAGTGACTCCATATTTCTAGAATAATTTCATTTTCACTTACAAGTAAAAATTTGCATTTTTGGCATTAACTTGCATAGCGTATATTTTCGTAGCTCGAACCTAAAAGGAATTCGCCGAGCGAATCCAAAGCCGTCTGGGGTGCTAAAGCCCCAGGAAGAGCGTGCAAAAAGCTTTCCACTAGTTGTCTAGTCTATGTGTCGTCTGGTCAGTGGCGAGACCCAGCTTGGGCAGGTATGTTTTGATATATATATATATTGGCAGCGCTAAGAGTTGCAGTTCCCTCTTTACCCCAGTGCGTGCACTGCACCATCCCTCCTATTCCACCATCTGCGCAATACACTGTAACACGTTACAACAGTTATAATTTCTTTTTCATAATGAAGTTTAATTTGTAATTAGATTGTAATTTGATTTAAGTTCGTTTTTTTTTTTTTATTGGAATGAATGTTTGCATTTAGTTCGAGTTCATTTAAAACGGTTTATAGTTGAATGTGATTATAGTTTAGTATATAGTATTAACTAACTTTTTGTTGTAGCTGTGAAATTATTTGTTTCTCTTTCTCTTCATTTTTATAATCCAAAATCTGTTTAACTGTTCTCTTTTTCTTTTCTTTAATAGCGCGTCGCATGGTCTAAATTTGTGATTCGATTTTGTTTTCATTCGTTTTAGTTAAACTCCTTTATTTTGTTGAATTAATAAATTTGCAATCTTCTCTACGAGTTAAGTAATTTAATTTCATAATTGTTAATTACGTTTTAAGAAATTGACAGCAATTCTTAAGTATTTGTATAATTTATAATTGTTCAATATCATTTTTAAAATATTTGTATATCAATTTTGATGTTATGTAAATTTCCGAAAAATTTCTTCTTCTTCTTCTTCTTCTTCGTCATTTGTATTTGTATTTTTTTATTTTGTTAAATATTTGTAATAAATTTCGTACTAAAAAAATACCTAAACGGGTTTGACAACGGCCCAACTATTAGATCCAACTAGAGCTTTCACCCGAATATGAATTGTTGAAATTTACAGTTTGAATTTTTAAATCTTACATTGCGTACAGCTCGCACCCGTTTAGGTTTTATTTTATAATAATGCATTGAATACTGGCTTACGAATACATATATATATTATATATTTATATAAACAACGGTCCTTTCAAAATATCTTCTACTTAGCTACAATTGTTGCTATTTTTAATTTGTTTCCACAAGCAATAAACATTTTAACGTGAATTCAGAACATTTTCTTGGCGCCTCTCTCTCACAATCACCACGAGCACACACACACACACACACACATACAGATGTTTTTTCTCAACACTGGCACACGCAATCATACGCCTGGCAATCCGCACACATGCGCACAGCTTCGCGGACAATTCGCCAGTGTGATCCAGTCTCGATGTTGCTGAGCTTTTTGCGGAGGGTGGGCGCGAATTGTCGAACGTCGCAGCCCTGGTTGGTTGGGCTTGATTGACTAGATCTTTGTGTGTTGGTCGCCAATAGTACACGTGTGTGTGTGCTTGCCAGGCGTGCGTGCGTGTGCGTGTATTGAGACTTGCTCGGCCTTTCAAAACATCGTTGAAGAGTCCGTGCAACCGTGTGTTTGTGTAAGTCTTTCCATTTCACCACACCAACTGCAACAGTCGCAGCAACGAATGAGTGACCGAGCAAGCATATTTTTACGTTCAGGCACATACGCATGCTGGCTCGCTCACCTTCATTTTCTGCGCTGCAAATGACAATGAGTATGGTGAAAATGTGAGACAAACTCGCTTGCTCCTTCGTTCGCAATATGTTGAATGCAATAAGAACGAGCTTGCCTGCAGGTCTGTGTGTGTGTGTGTGTGTGTGTGTGTGTGTGTGTGTGTGTGTGCGCTGTGTAGAGGCACCAACTAGACTAATACATAAATCTATATTGTATATTTGAATTAAGTGTAAATATTTGTTTCATATAAGTATTAAATATTATATAGAGAGAAAGTTGGGTTCTTGCAAATCTTATTTAACTAGATCTTAGAACATTTCATATTAAATTTTATAATAATTAATTTATAATTTGTTTAGGCAAATTTGCCATTGAATAAACAAGATAAAAATATTGTAATTTTTTTGTTTTTGAATTTAGTTGTTTATTATATTATAACAATTGTATTAGAGGTTCGGAAATTTTAATAAGAAGAGGTTAATACTTTATTATAATTAAAATAATTTATAGTGAAAAAAATAAACCAAAACCATCAAAAAGAATGTAAATTTAACTGAACATGCATCTTGTTAGAAATTGCACTCACACATACGCATATACCTTTGTACATATATAGTTAACACATATATATGCACTACAGTTATCTGTTATTGTTGTCAGGAACAACGGTAAATGCAATCCTTCGTGACTTTGCCAATAAGGATCCGATTATTATGCATTGTAATTATTATAATCATATATATGCATATGTATAGTTATTCGTATATATGTTATATATATATTGTTAACATTGCCTTCGTTTCAGTTATATTTATATATATATATCTATTTTGTTTTATAAAGCTTTCTGCATGTAGTTCCTCAAAAATTGTTCTTTGCTTACGTTTTATTTTTAATTCAGTTTCTTTGCATGTGATTCGGAATACACGTAGTGGATTTATGTGGAAGGCGCAAAATGTTGGTTTTCAATTGTTCAATATCATGTATAACTATATATATTTTTATATGGATGTGTGTGTATAATTATATATACATATATATGTATATAATATACATATATATATTTTATACATAATTGTTTAACAGCAAACTTAAATATTGCTTTTCAATGTTAGCTTTTCATGTATTCCTTAACGCATATAAATTTGAATCACAAATTTCACCACAGCGGCGCGCTTTGCGTTGTATTTGAGCCAGGGCTGTGTCTGTCTGTTTGTCTGTCTGGTGTGGTGTGGCTTTGCATTGTTCTAATTATGGAATTTTCAAATTGTGCAAATTGCAATTACAATTCGATAAACAGTTTGCTGTTAACATATGCTTAACATTCTGCTGTAATGCAGCCAGAAAGGCCTTATTAGTGGGCAAATTTTGAAGACACTTTATATATATATATATTTTTTTTTTTTTTGATTTACAACTGAACTTTCGTAACTTTAATAATTGCAAAAAAAAATGTTTTAAGTTGTTGATTCAACTATTAGAAATGAATAAACATTGGGAGCACACATAAATATATAGTTGTACAAATAAATAATTATATATATATGTATATAGATATATATATATTCATTTTATAGATTTCCCAGATATATATATATATATATATAGAGATATATAATGAATTTAACGAGTTTTTGGGTATATAGTGTGGTAATACATAAAACGCGCTTCCATTACATATCCGACTGCACATATATATATATATATATAGAGATAAATATATGTGTATATATATTTGTAGCGTATTGTTCTTTCGTTTTGTGGGTTGGTTAGTTAAGTGGTGCACATAATGTATGTCTACTGCATGGTGAACAATGAACAATCGCCTCAACGAATATATATATTTATGTATATATACATATGGGTATATATGTATATATATTTAAATATATATGCGTTTGTAGATATATAGCGAATAACAAATTACAAATCTGGCTAAGAGATGTAAGAAGCATACAGGTGTGTATGCCTGCTTTATCGTGGGCTTCACTGTACTTAATCCTCCTTGGAGAGGCTGCCCAGATCGCTGAGGAAAATTTCCGGCGACAGGATATGCGAGGAGCCGACTATCACCTCCCAGTTGCGTACCGCATTGGTCACCTCGTAAGCGCATCTCATCTCCGACATGCTCACACCGCCCACTATGAAAATGATGAGGCGTGGCACATTCTTGACCTGCGTCTGTGCCTTATCCTTATGCCAATGGCCGTAGCGAGCGCTAGTCGGTGCATGATAATTGGTATTCTGTGCACGCCCCTCTAAGAAGGGGAAGTGACGCTGATCCAACTTATCCTCAATGCAATCCTCCATAATGTCCTTGATCACTGGTGTCCAGCGTGACATTTGGTAGGTGCTCTCGGTGATGCGCTCCTTTCGTGGCACCGAATAGATCTTCTTGCGTGACTGTAAAACATTGCGAATCAAGTCAGTTGAAATTGCCAGAGCCATATTTCACTTCAATTCCACTCACATCGGCGATAACATTGATGCCCAGGTAGCTGAGATTTCGCACCATATCCTGATCCTTCGTTGACAACTGAGCGTGTGTGAAGAGCTTGGTCAAATTCTCCTCGGAGATGCCATTCTTGATCATCACATAGAGCGAAATGATGCGCACCTTATCGTAGTTGGAAACATTCTGAAAATGGGAAATTCGATTCGAGATTAGAGTCAAGTAGTTTGGCGATTCTTTGTAGCATTGCTCACCGCATCCAATAAAATGGGTACAATGTTGCGCATATGATCCTTGATCTTCTCGCCTTCGGCATCGGTGCCCATGGCCAGATCCTGTTCGACACGGCACAGCTTGTCGACATAGTTCTGATACGATTTCATGCAATCCTCAGCCAAATGCAAATGGGTGGAATACTTGGATAGCTCCTTCTGATACTGCGGCATCTTCTTGATCATTTGCGAGAGATCGCGCATCGACGATTTATCAGCTATAAAGTGGATTAAGATCAGCGATAGATTGGACAACTAATTCGAGAGTGGGGCGAGGCGGGGGCTTACTGGAGCTCATGCGCTTGGAATCGGTGAACTTCTTCAAGTTCTGGGTGACCTGTGTGGAGACAACGGCAATATGCTCATGACGCAACTCCACCCACAGATCGTCGTTCTCATCGAGCAGCACCTCCTTGTCCGGCTGGTTGGGACCCGGACAATAGCGGTACACATCATTCACAATGGGCAACAGGTCGTAGGCCATCGCCTGCAATGTCAACTCGTGCAGCAGCGGCGACACACAATCGAAGCCACGGTCCAGAATCAGCAGCTGGGAGCGTGCCTTCTCCGGCCCCTCGCCCATTGTTGGCTCGTCGGCCTTGTAGGCATCCAGTTTCTGCTGCACGGATGCAGCCAAATCGATATTTCGATCCCAGTCGCTGCGATAGCGAACATTCGGATATTCGCCTAGGGTGGCGCACAGCGTGGCGATTTGCTCGGCGATCCGTTCAATATGCTTGCCGCGTATCGAGGCGAATGCCGGCGAATACAGACATTGGAAAGTGTCCGGCGAATCCAGCGAGAAGACCTACGGCGAATACACAGAGGAGACAACGAAAAGAAAAGACAAGGGCGAACAGGCCGAGGCGGTTCGATTGACCCACACACCCAGGAGTTCTCTATTAATTGGGCGAACTTGTGAGCTTTTTGGCGAATTCTTACGAATTTATCGAATATATATTATGCATGTATGCATGTGTGTAATTGTGTAGGTGAAGCTGATTCTCGTTTAGTTACGTTACGATGTATGCAGTACAGCGAGCAAATGTTTATCGATTTCACTCATCTTTCGATAAGTCGATAAATTTGAGTTTATATCAATTGAATATGACTATAAAGATAAAAATCTGTAGCACATGTATACTATATGTAGGTTAAATATTTTTTCAACGTACATCTTCTCATATTGGATTAAAATCGATCAAATTTTTAGATTTATCGATGACTCATTATTCGCTTTGGATCGATTAGTATTTGTAAGGATTGTAAGAAAAGGGTTCATTTAATAGATATATGTTAATTTCACAACATATCGATTTATCGATTGTAACTTTTGATCATTATGAAATCTAGGAAATAAAATTAGATATAAATTCACTTGCTTGCTGTTTACCGTTGTCCAAGACGGTAACATGAATAAGCGAGAACGAAAGAGACACATATATAGACAGAGAGCGACATGCGATGCTCAGCATGCTGATCGTTAGACAAATGAGGGAGATAGTGAGCGAGAATGTACTTAAAAGCTAATGACATACATATTTACACAGAATGAGCGAGTGAGCGAGACAAATAGATAGAGAACACACAACCAATTGACAAACAATTACATTTACAGATTATTAATATATAACATATATATATGTATATATAGTTTTTTTTTTTCTTTTCTTTTAGTATATGTGGTATATATGTGGTATTTTCATTTGTGTATTGCTTTTTTAGCCCTGGGAGTTGTACTCGCCGCATCACAAGATGACGAATAACGAGTAAACGGCAACGCGAACGAATGCCGCTTAAACGTGCCTGGTCACATTGTGAGTGGATCGACGAGTAAGTTTGTTTCTTATGCATTAGGTTCATTGTTATTAGTTATTGTGATTTGTTGTTAAGTTGCTTATTATTATTCGTTGATATTGAGTGTTTGGTTAGGCACGATTTGCTTTTCTGTATACAATTCACATACATTAAATTGAACACTACAAAACAAGTTTAACAAAACTTAAGGAGATTCAAGTTTGGAGTTTACGCTCAGAATAGTTTAACACACACACACACACATCAATATAGAGAGAGAGACAGAGATTGTGAGTGAGAGATAGAGAGCCGCTTTGGCCTGGATAGTGTTTGAAAGCGATCTTGTGTATTGGTTAGTTTGTGTGTCAGTAATTACAACAAATAGAATTACAACACTTATATTAAATATACAACAAGGCTGAGATGCTTAGAGACATAGAAAGGGAGAGAAGGGAAATATAGAGGTCTTGAAACATTGTGCAACACTGAATAGTGTTCAGCAGTAGGCAGAGCAAGATACAGCAAGCCAGACAGAGACAGAGAGAGAGAGAGAGAGAGATGAATTAGATTTGGTTTCTAGAGAATGTTCGTTGCTTATTAAAAGCGAAAATATGGCTCGCGCTTACAAGAGAGGTGGAGATAGATAGATAGCTTGAAAGAGGGAGAGATAGAGAGAATTACACCTCAACTACGACTTGACTTGAACTTAACTTTTAGCTAGTGCTCTTCCTAAAGGCATATGTCTATATATAAAGCTATATTACTTATGTACAAAAGAGATAGAGATATAGAAAATGGAAGTAAGAGAAAGAGCTAGATTATTAGCTTAGTTAGCTTAGTTGGCTTGGTTTAGAATTTCAATAAATGCTCTTGCTTAATGCCTTTACATAGTAGGAAATTTGACTTTGTCAAATGTACAAGAGACAGAGGGAGAGAGAGAGGAAGAGAGATAGATAGTTGGATAGATAAAGAGCGGTATAGAGTATTTGTATATTGTACACGCTTAACATTTAATACAACAATTAAGATTTTTTTTTTGTTTTTTTGGTTTGTTTTTTTTTTTTTAGCGCACCTGGCATTCATATGGTAGAAATGCAATATTAATCTCCTTTAGAGTTTTGATCTTTCTTGCAGCGCACGATTTACACAAATCGTTAAATAATTCCTCCGGGCAAACTATAATTATAATTTTTATACGCACATCAAATTTTGCTCAAATTTCCGATATTCTCTTCTAAATTTTTGTTTACTTTTTATCTATTTTTTGGCTACAGAATATGCATAGTATATGGTATTGATTATGTAAGTATAATGCATGTTTCATTTCTTTCAATATAGATATACATATTTTGGATATATAGTTTGTTACCCATTGCTTAGTGGCTAGGCTCTGAAAAGTTAACTAAATTTGATCGAGTTTCGAGTAGAAATTAAACCATTAAATGTGGACAATAAAACACAAGACATGTAAAACAAAATGATAAAGCAGATACAGTATAGCCTGCCTAAGGCGATCTCTTTTGAGCTAGTTTTGAAAACAAAGGTTAAGTAAAGTGAAAATATAGTTCGTTTTAGGAAGGGCATACTGTATAGTGTATGTGGTTTGTATGCGACCCAGTTTTGGCAGTTAGTTGTCAGAAGCATTCGCTTAAGAATATATTTTTTCGTGTAGAACAAAACACGATTTACGGCACAGTTGCATTAGTAGTAAAAGAGAGAGAGAGAGCGAGAGAGAGAGAGAGAGAGAGAGAAGTCACTGCAACGTGTAACGAGTAACGAGTAACGATAAGCGAGAGTGTTAAATGTTTTATTAAATTGATTATCTAACAGAGATAGAAATAGAGAGAGAGAGTGGGAGAAGTATACCTGCGC